CTACCATAGGCCGAAACAGCTTCTTCGTTAACCAATGGTAATAAAATATATTCACAGTTTCCAGAAGGGAATCCCACATCATTGCATAGAGGTTCCTGTGGGTGGCATGAAGAGTCATCTCCATGAGGTGAGAGGCACTTTTTTGTTGTTCTGTTTTTAATAGATAACTAATAATTGTATAAACTTAAGAATATACTATTATCTTTTCAATACATGTATATATGTGATATAAGCAATCAGGCTAACCAGAATATCTATTAAATATTTCAATACTTATCTTTCATTTCTGTTGAGAACCCTTAAAATCTTGGTCTGAGATTTTTAAGTACATGCGTTATTAACATTAGTCACCATAAAATGCAATGCAAGAATAGAATCTTTATTTCTAACTAACTTGTATTCTCTGGCCACTGTCTCTTCTTTTTCCTACTTTCTACCTTTATTTTGTGAATTGGCTAATCATAACATTAAGAATGAGATCCAAACTCTCCATAGCTGCTATGGTGTCAAAGATTAGAAGACTGGCCAACACAAGGGTTGCTGAAGATGAGAAGCAATTGAAGCTTGTACACTGGGGGTGGGAATGACCCCAAATGTATCAATGTAAACCCAGATACACTGATCCTGAAAGAAAAAAAGAGGCGGGTAATAGCCTTGAACTTTTTGGAATGGGAAAGGAGTTTTTGAGCAGAACACATTAGTACAGGCACTAAGATCAATAATTAATAAATGGAATCTCACAAATCTGAGAATTTTCTGCAAGATGAAGGACATTATCATTTGAACAAAGTCATAAACTACAGAATAGGAAAAGATTTTTATCAGCCACAAATCTGATAGAGAGCTAAAAAGCAAATTTAAGAAGAATTCAAGAAAATGGATATCAAGGTAACAAACAAATTAACAATGGGGTATGGATATAAGCATGGAATTCTCAATAAATAAAACTGAGAAACAAAAAAATGTACATCATTAGCAATTAAGGAAATGCAAACCAAAACTACTTTGAGATTTCATCTCACATTTGTTAGAATGGCTAAGATCAATAACACAAGTGACAGTCCATGCTGGCAAGGATGTGTAGCAAGAAGAATACACTCCTTCATTACTGGTGGGAGTGTGAACTCGTATATTCACTATGGAAATCAGTGTGACATTTCCTCAAAAAATGGGAACTGATCTACCTCAAGATTCAACTGTATGACTCTTGGGCATATACCCAAAGGATGATTCGTCCACCACAAAGTGACTTTGTTCAACCATGTTCATCACTGCTCAATTTATAATAATATGAAATAGGAAAACAACCTAGATGTTACTCAACAGAGGAATGGATAAAAAATGTGTAAATGTACATTTACACAATGGGTTATTACTCAACCATTAAAAAAATGACATCATGAAATTTGTAGGCAAATGATATGGTTAAAAAAATCATTCCAGAACCAGAAAAAAAAATATGGTATGTATTCACTTATATGTGAATATTCGTTCTTAAGTCTATGATAACAAAACTATAATACCTAGAACCATAGAAGATAGGTATAAAGTAAGATACTAGAGTATAGCTAGAGACTTCACAAAGAAAGGGAAAGAGAATAGATACTTATTACAGAAGGATAAAGTGGGGGAGGAGGAGAGAGTTGAAGGAGAGAATATGGAGATAAACAGCTAAACTTTAAGGGCAATTAAGAGGTAGTATAGAAACCTAATACAGTAGAAACTTTCTAAAACACATTCATTTATGATGGCGATCTAAATGATGTCAACAAATAGTGAAGGAGTCAGAGTACAAACTGGCCATCTCTTGTCATCAAATGAAGTTTCTAGAACTGGGACTGGGTTGTTGACCAAAGGAGTAGAGAGAGATAAATGGACATAGATGTTGAGAAAGCTCAAATTCTGCAGACTAATTTTAGTTTTCACACAATTGCTAATATTTTATACTAATCTATCCCTCAATATCTTTCTTTAATTCTGATACTTATTCACAACTGATTTACTTCTTGAGAGTTATGAATTTTATCATTTTTTTCTCTTAGATGTTTCTAAATTCCAGTTAAAGAAGGCTATCCTTTTGTTATCATTTGCTTTATTCTATAGGACTTCCAGGCTTGCACACAAAAGTATCAATTTTGGAGCATCAAATATATTCCCCATAGAGGGAACTATAGGCTATTTATTATATTTGGTTACAGCTCTCTATTTTTTCATATACTTGTAAGAAGAAAATCCATAGTCATGACACATACCACTGGTCGGAGTTCCTGATGGTGAATATATGTGAACATTTCCTCCTTCTTCAAATATGTGTCTCCCATTTCCTCCTATAAAACTGAAAATTTTTCTATGCTAGGTATGGAACATGCTTCAGGGTTCAGTCTTATGGGATTAACCTTTGAGACTTTCTCAGCTATCATCCCAGTATCATTCCCTCCTGTAGTATCATTGGTAATCCTTCGTGTTTTACAGGGACATGAGCATGGCCAAACTCCTCTGTGTGTTCTGGGACAAGACACTGAAGTTCTTTCTAGGCTGAGAACACTATTGTGTTTTGTTGGATTCACTATGAGGATTTGTATATATGAAGATTCTGTATATTTCATGTTCATCTAGCAGCTACTCATTACCCTGTTGGATTGGTGCCTCATATTTTAGGGATGTTTCTTATCAGACGCTTAAGAAATTCTGAAGTGGAAGGGAACCTGGTGTCAAGAAATCATGGGCAGGAATGCAGAAATAGATGTTTGAAGAGCATCAGGAGACAAAGGGCAATGAGCAAATCAAACACTGAACGCAGGAAATCAAGATAAACCAAACAGAAACCAGAATCTCTACAAAGTTCCAAGAGCCAATGACACTGAAAACAAACAGAACACTCAGAAGTCAAAATGCTCTGGAAGCACACAAAGCAGAAATTTTAAACAATTGCTTTGTTAGCAAAACAAGCATCCCAAAGAAAAGGATCCTACAAAATCACAGCTCAAAGCACATCACTGGACTAATGACCAAATCTAAGGAGGAACCAGCTCCCAGAAAGGACTCACAAACTTCTAAACAAGAAGATAATACTATATAGCTGGCAACAGGGGATTTATTGTAATGGTGTCTGGTGCCAGTGCAGTTGAGTCCTTTTGGGAAGAGCAGGCCATTCTTTTGAGGCCCCACATTGGTCATCAGGAAAGACACAGTTCTTTACTCTTAATTTTCACAGGAAAAAGAGACATTATTCTAGGGCCAAATATGAGTGACAGGGGCTTTGTCAAATGGCAAGTCTCCATGTGGTTCTACTTCCATGAATTTTTACAGTAACAGACCAAAGAAAATCATAAATCAAGACATGTTTCAAGTACATTGATGAGTGTCTCAAATAGATGGGCTCCAAAAAATGGGAAAATCTTAACCTACACAGTAGGTCTCAGACACAGTCTGATGACATTCTTGGCATAATGATTGATAGAAGTTAGAGTATATGTTTCTACATCCAAATGATTTATCTATTAATCACAAATTTGTTAGGTCTCAGACAGAATAAGGCAGTAAATGTCTATTAAAGGGATTAAAGGTATTCTAAAGTAATTTGGCTCTGATTTGCAGCATCCTTATTCTAATCCGTTAATCAGCTTTTGTAGTTCAATGATCTTCTAAGAGTTCTTATTCATAAAGACAAGCTCTTGGAATGCAAAGTTGATACCCAGGACTTCATCTTTTCCCTTCTTCTAGACTGAAGTTCCTTGTGATATTCTAATATTTTGCAGATCATGGTTTTAATGGTCTGTTGATTACATGGAGGGCCACATACATCTCTGTGTAGAGAATCTTCACTCTTGACAGGAAAGTAACAAATAGTATTTAATCTTAATGTTAAAATATAGCCATCCATGGGATTAGGTGGGGGGGGGATGGAATGATAGAGGGAGAGAGTATGGGGAGATATGATTGGAATTAGGGGTCATTTGAGGGGTGATATGAAACCCTAGTGAGTGGAAACTTCCTGAAACTTATGAGGGGACTATAGCAAGGACTCCTAGTAGTGGAGGATATGGACCAGTAATCTTCAAGGCAAGGCTTCAAGTAGTGGGATTGGAACATTAACTCACAATCTTTGACCTACAATATGTCCTGTCTGCAAGATATCGTGGAGCAATGGTGGCACAGAGTTTGTGGGAGTGGTCAACCAATGACTAATCTCATTGAATACCCACCCCAGGAGAGGGACCCCTTGTCTGACACCGCTTAAATTATCAGGAACTGGAAGCTGGACAGCCCAGAGATCTAGAGAAGAAACAAACACGACTGGCCAAAAAAAAAGAAAAGCCAATAAAATGATTTTTAAATGTTACTTATAGATCAGTGCCTAGCCCAATAATCACCAGAGAGGCTTCCTCAGCTACTACTAGGAGCAGATGTGTAGACCCACAGCCAAACATTAGGTAGATTTTGGGGATATCTGAGGAAGATGTGAAGAAAGTATTGTAGGGGAAGAGGGGTTGAAGATGCAGGGAGAATAAGGCCTACAGAACCAACTAAGCAGGGCTCATAGAGACTGAAGCATGATTCTTTCACCAGCTCTTGGGACCCTTTTCCTCCTGCTGAGTTGCCCTGTCCAGACTTGGTATGAGAGTTTGTGCCCATCTTATTCTTTTTATGCTGTGTTCAGTTGCTATCCCTGGGAAGCCTGTTCTTTTCTGAAAGGAAACGGTGAAGTAGTAAATCTGGGGGAGGGGAAAGGAAGGTGGGGGTGGGCACTAGGAAGAGTAGAGGGAGGGGAGGCTGTCGTCAGAATGTATTGTATAAGAGATGAATGAATAAAAAGAAAAAAATAGCCATCTATAACACAGTTTAAAGAAGGGAGTGTTGTGTTAAAATGAAATGGCAAACACAGAAAAGTGTTAGGAAATGGGCGGTTTTGTTTATACAGACTAAAGTGTACTAAAGAGAGAGGTCCCTCCCCCAGTGCAAATACTGTGTCCTTTTTGGAGCTGCATTTATAGGCTCTTGGAGAGCAAACTTCCCAGTGCATTTGTTCAATGTGAGCTAATGGCTCTTTTTACCATTTTGGGGATTTGCCTGTCTTGTTTGATCTTTTTTTTCCTATGGAATCAGCACCGGAGCAAAGGAAAGCTCCCACCTGGACCCACTCCTCTTCCAATTGTTGGAAATATTTTGCAAGTGGATGTTAAAAATATCAACAAATCTCTGAGGACGGTAAGAGTGATTAGCTTCCTTTCAATGGTTTTCAATGAGTGAATTATACATCCTCAGCACAGATAAAATGTGATCCTAGACTCCATGGAGATGTTACCAGGGTTAAAGAAGAAAACCCTGACACTTGGGGTCCCAACTTAATAGTCTTAGCCACTTGTCTTAACAGAAGTTAACTGCATAGCAAGGAAAGATATTTTACTATTACTGTGGCCACTCTGAAAGAGAGAAATTCAGAGGTTTTCTTTGTGTTGACAATCTTGAGGGGTTTTGCATGTGAAAAAACAAAAACAAGACTTGAGGAGTTTGCATAGCACAGTTTTCAAAATTTATCAGTGTTGAAGAATTTTCTGGTCCTTGAGGGTAGAGGACAATGCTCATTTGGCACTGAGGAAACTGATTTCAATTTGTGTTCAGGAAGTTGTTCAACTGGTCACGGGCAATCTCCTGGTTTTCTGGAAGGAGTACTATAGTTCCCATAATATAACTACCCTTTTTGGAGGTATCTCCTTCATAGAGTGAGCTGCCTACAGAGCTCTGTTAATTTTGGTGGTTTAGGATAATTCTGGATGGCTCGTAGGGTGTTATAGAGGCTCTAACAGAAACTGTGAGGTTGAAGAGCCTTGAATCATGTCAATGGCTTCAACACTGAAGTAGGAGGATTGGCCACTTCATATAAACCCTTGAGTGCTTACCGAGCCTACACTCAGAGTCCAACAGTAACTGAATCACAATTTAAGGTCATGGAGACAGGTATGAGCTGAAGACAGAGATGTTAGGGTTTATCTTGGTTTTAGTTACCCATCAGACGCAAGTGAAGAGTGAATATGTGTCTGGTGCGTATACATGTATGTGTGTGCGTGTGCATATGTGTGAGTGTGGGCACACATGTGCCACAGTGATCATGTGGCAGTCAGAGGACAATCTTGAATGCCTGTCCTGCTTGCTACGTTATTTGAGACAGTGCCTTTGCCAGTCACTGCTGTGGATCTCAGGCCGGTTGGCTGTGAGCTTCTGGGGATTCTCCTGTCTGTCTCCCTTCTTGTGGGAGAGATTGGATTGCGTGTGTGCTTGACTGTGCCTGACTTTATGTGAGCACAGCAAGTCCTTTATACATGGAGCCATCTCTCTAGGCAAAGAATGAAAACAAAATCTTCTTTCTTTTTTTTTAAAATATTTATTTATTATGTATACAATATTTGTCTGCATGTATGCCTGAAGTCCAGAAGAGGGCACCAGACCTCATTACAGATGGTTGTGAGCTACCATGTGGTTGCTGGGAATTAAACTCAGGACCTTTGGAAGAGCGGGCAATGCTCTTAACTGCTGATCTATCTCTCCAGCCCCCGAAAACAAAATTTTCAATGGAAACTCAAGTCAGCTCCTAACTCTGTGTTCTACTGAGAGCTAGAAGGAAATGGGATCCAGGAGTTGCTCTGTGATGCTGTCAGGAGCAGAAGAGTCAGTGTTCATGTACTCTCCAAGGTCCTCTTCAGTACAGCAAATATTCTCTGTTGAAGTGCAGTGCAGCTGGAAATGTGTTCAGCTACAAAAACCTGTTGATTTTTAAGTTCTCAAGTCAACATTTTCCTAGAGAATAGATTGATTTGAAATCAAGGACGTAACTAAGAATTCAGGAATTCTGAGAGTTCCTACCATATTTTCTGGATAATGAATCACTGACTGCTCTGTCATTGATCCACATGGCAGCCATTCTCTGAAACCTGAAGGAGTGACTGGAAAGCTGCTATCTTTTGCCTGAGACGGTCAGTCACCAGAGTACTCGCTGCCCCCACAGCTCCTTCTTCCTGGGCTGGGAGTTCTGAATTAACTCATAGCTTGGGGCAAGTGTTAAAATCCCCCTGGGATTTAATTTCTGTCTCTTTAATATGTAAAGATTCCACACAGGTTAGTTGACTGTGTTTACATTAAACAGTAATGAATCGCAGCTTGACTTCAGGCACCATGCTCTGTACATGCAGCTGATTGTAAGGGTGATTGGAACGTAGAAAGTCTTGTAGAAGGTGCAGTCTGGAGAGTAGGCATGTCTGTCCTGTTGTGTTTGCAGTTCTGCTAGAACTCTGAGCCCTCAGCGTGAAGGATGACATGGAGAACGGACGACAGAAGACGAGTTTTAGTGTACAAGCGGGGTGAGCGGTACAGATGTTCCACACTCGGGAATGACACACATTGTTTATTGTAAGAATAGGCTGGAAGAGAAATCTAATGCAATGTAGATTTGACAGGAAAACATAAAGTAAAATTTGAGCAAATATGTTTCACAATCTGTGTTGTATAGAAGACCACTAGTAACAGCAATGTCAGCAAGAGCCTAGTGATAATGGCTGTTAACTGTCATTTGTTATTAGACTATTGGGTCTAAAGTCAATGAACATGTGAATATTAAAATGTATCTTCATTCATGAATGAAACTATTTCTTCACTGACCACCTATACTCTGTTTCCAGCTATCAAAAGAATATGGCCCTGTGTTCACCGTGTATCTGGGCATGAAACCCACGGTGGTGCTGTATGGATACGAACCATTGAAGGAAGCTCTGATTGACCGGGGAGATGAGTTTTCTGGCAAAACACAATCGTCAATAATCAGTCAAGTCAACGAAGGGTTAGGTATGGCTCTGTGTTGGGGCACATTCAGGTCTACACATGCAGCAATAAACTTGCAAAGACAAGGAAACTGAGAAGTCAAAAATATTTATAAATTCATGAGTTATTTGTAAAAATTGAAAACAATTTAAATATAGCACAGGAAAATCATTTCCTTATATCATATTTGTGACACCTCTGTTCTTTCTGATTTGTCATCTGCCCACTGCTCTCCCCGTTCTTGTCTGTGTCACTGATACCCTTTTCCTCCCCAATAGCCCATCTCTGCTTTCACATCTTAGTCTCTCTTTTTATCCCCTGCTCCTATATCTCTTCTTCCTCTCTCATAGTCTTTCTTCTTTCATTACACACAGACACACACAGACACACTTACACACAACACACACACACATGTGCATACTCACACATGCATATGTGCAGCCACATATGTACACTCTAGAACTCTATAACAGAAAAAATGCTGGTTGTTTTATTTTTTTATTTTTTTTGGGTCTGGCTTCCTTTACTCGAAACAAATGATTTACAGTTAGGGTTTCTATTCCTACAACATGACCAAGAGTAAGTAGGGGAGGAAAGGGTTTATTTGACTTAAACTTTCAATTTGCTATTCATTGTTGAATGACGTCAGGATAGGAAGTCGAACAGGGCAGGATCCTAGAAGCAGGAACGATGCAGATGCCATGGCAGGGAGTGGGGGATAGTAGTGTAGTAGTGTTGCTTGCTGGCTCATTTCTCATGGCTTTCTCAGCCTGCTTTCTTACAGAACCCAGAACCACCAGCCCAGGGATGGCACCACCTACCATGGACTGGGTCCTCCTGCATTGCTAGTTGAGAAAATGCCTTACAGCTGGATCTCATTGAGTCATCCCCTCAACTGAGTCTCTTCCTCTGATAACTCTAGCTTGTGTCAAGTTGACACACTAAACTACTGACTACACCCTGTAAATGTGTTCATTTTCTTTATGTTTGGTAAATTTTGATTATAATGCATTATTAGGTTTAAGTTGCATTTGGTGTGACATTTCAGCAAACAGATACAGCACCTATTGGCGAATTTGGCTCATTTTTCTCACCATTTCCGGTCCTCTTCTGACCTCTAGTGATCATTAATGATATGTGCTGTTTATAGGGGATCTTTAAACCATTTTCAAAATTGATTAACTTTATACACAGTACCCCATGAAGTATTAAGTTTGAACTTGTGACTCCAGAGTACTCATTTTATATTAAAGCCAAAGAATAATGATAAAAATACTGACACAGAGAAAAGAAATGAAAGGGACAAAATATCTTAGTCACCAAATATTCTGTCTCCTGGTCTGAGTATGGATCTAGTTGATTTTATGTGTGTATAGTGTGAGGACCAGTATAAATATGAGTATTTCCAGACTTGTATTCAGTCCTTTATCTTTAAAAGTCATAAGGAATATTTGAATACAATGCAAAGGGACAGAAAAGCACAGCCGTACTCCCCTAAGAGTGCCTCAGGGACTCAGTGTTTGTGTACTGCCCTGATATTGGAAACACTCTTTTCCTTTTAAATTATTTTTCACATTATTACAATATAATTACAAAATTTCTCCCTCCAAATCCTCCCATATACTCCTCCTTGTTCTTTTTCAAATTCATTAACTTTTTTGGTAGTTGTCATTGTATGAATATATATATATATATATGCATACACACACACACACATATATATATATAACCTATATATATATATATATAACCTAAGTATATAATATATAAATATAACCTGCTAAGTCTGTATGATGTTACTTGTATGTATATTTTCAGGGCTAACCATTTGCTATTGAATAACTAGTCAATACTCAGGGTTGTGAAGCCCAGTCCTAATGAAAGCATCCACAAAATATTCCTGCACCCAAGGTCTAGGTAACACTGTGGAGAAAGAATAGAAAGAAGGGAAGAGCCACAGGACCAGGGAGTTTGCTGAGAATGTGTCTCTTAATAGTGTCAGAAGTCTTACTAACATGACTTCCCAAACATGAGGTGAAAAAGGATGTCACCAATAGATATGCCAAAGTGAATGGCGAGGGGAACTATAAGGCCTCAACACTACATACGGAGCTTCATGTACCTGAGGAATGTTCAGAATGGAAGACATTGTCTTCCCTTAGGATACTGTTTCCATCAATTGGAAATGCTTTTAAAACAAGTTCAGAAGTTTCTCAGGTCACATTGAGATTACATCCCTGCAATCCATCTAAATGAAAACTAGTGTAAGTTGGAAATGTACTTACTACTTACCATAGTTTACCTAACAAACACTACAGTCTCACATGACACATTGTAGAGTATGGGATACTGTCTTCCGTGGTTGCGTGGCTGGTTAGGAGGTCTGGCTTGCTGCTCAAGATTAGGAGGGCATAGTATAATACAATTTAATAACCTAAGAAAGGAGGAGCATTCAATAGTCACATTATGGTTTATACTGACCATGTAGCTATTTTCTACTAACTCATAGCAGAGAAGCCAGAAATTGAAACACTGAGAATTGGAAACTAACTGTATATCAGTTATTGATTTTGAGCCTGGCATAAAGCTGTCCAGTCTTCTGTTGGAGCACTGAGTGCTGGCAAAAGTGACGAGGGATCTTTGGCTCCCCTGTATTGTTGTCTAAAACCTCCTTGACCGGTTTATGTTTATGGGTTTACCTTTTGCCTTGATCACATTTTGAATTTAGAGAATTTATGTTGAACTTCTAGATGCACAGATCACACAATACATGCAAGAATTTAAGCAAGCACAATAGTCGATATTATTTCCTGTGATGAACACTCTCCACTAGAATTCACATTTTTTTTCCTAACAGGCATCATTTTCAGTGATGGGGAAACATGGAAGCAAACGCGGCGTTTCTCCCTCATGGTCTTACGGTCTATGGGAATGGGAAAGAAAACTATTGAAGACCGAATTCAGGAGGAAATCTCTTATCTATTGGAAGCACTGAGAAAAACCAATGGTATGTATCTATTTCTAGAATTACTAGATGAGCAAGATGAACTGTTTTATAAATAGGCTTTTTATAAATGTCATGGAGTCGGAAGTATAATTGAAGGTTACTCTGATCACATAAGGACAGTAAGAAATGATGTACTTATGCTGCCTGCCTTCCCAGGACCCAGGCTCACCAGCTTTTGCCCAATTAACTTTCAGTATTATCCATGGTTCCTGGTTTCATGTGGTTCTGGAAGGAGAGAAAGTTACAGGAACAGGAAATGCTTTTTTGATTAGATCTGAAAGCAGCACTGAGAGTTCACCTTACATCGGCAAGCTCTATCTAGCAACAGGACCACACGACCTGCACGAGGAGGGGGAAAGCATGACTAGCTGTGTGCCCTGGAAGAAAAAAAAGTTGTTCAACAACATTTTATTTATATATTTTTTAAGTTTATTAAATTATGAAAGTTTTCATTTCCACCCCTCCTCCGAACACCCTCTCACTCCCCCCTCCCCCTCCTCCTCCCTCTTCATCCCTAAGAGCATTCAGGGCTTCCAGCCCTGTGGGAAGTTCAAGTTCCTCCCCCCTCCCTCAAGGTCCAGGAAGGGGAGTATCCGAACAGACTGGATCCCAAAAATCCAGTATATGCAGAGGAAACAAGTCTCAGTGTCATTGTCAGTGGCTTTTCAGAAAGGCTCCGGACCAGCCACACTCAGAAATCCGGCCACATTCAGAAAATCTGGTTGGATCACATGCTCGTTCAGTCCCAGTCCAACTGGCCTTGGTGAACTCTCATTAGATCAGTACCCTTGTATCAGTGGGTGATCGCACCCCTCGCGGTCCTGAGTTTTTTTCATGTTCTTCCTTTCTCTGCCCCTCATTTGGACCATGGGGGGCTCAGTCCGGTGCTCCAATGTGGGTCTCCATCTGTATCGCCATCCATCGTCAGATGAAGGATCTATGGTGATAAGCAAAATATACATCAGTATGATTATAGGCCAAGGCCGGTTCAGGCACCTTCTCCTCTGTCTAGAGAACAGTCTGGGGATCTCTCCTTGGACCTGGGATCCCATTTATAATCAAGTCTCCTGTAAACCCTAAAATGACTCCCTTAATTGAGATATATTCTTCCCTGATCTCATATCCGTCCTTCCTCCCTCCCCCCATCCCAGTCCACCTAGCTTTCCCCATTCCTCCCCTACTCCCTTCTCTCTAACACTCTCCCCTTCCAACAACCCTCCCACCCCCCCATTCACCCGAGGTTACCTGGGACTCTTGTCTATTTCCAATCTCCAGGCAGATAGCTACATGATTTTCAACAGGTTCACCTTCTTATTTAGCTTCTCTAGGATCATGAATAATAGGCTCAAAGACCTTTAATTATGGTTAGAATCCACATATGAGTGAATACATACCATATTCCTCTTTTTGGGTCTGGCTTACCTCACTCAGTAAGGCGTTTTCTATTTCCATCCATTTGCATGCAAAATTCAAGATGTCATTATTTTTTACCGCTGAGTAGAACTCTAATGTGTATATGTTCCACACCTTTATTAACCATTTTTCTATTGAGGGGCACCTAGGTTGTTTCCAGGTTCTGGCTATTACAAATAGCGCTGCTATGAACATAGTTGAACAAATGCTTTTGTGGTATGATAGGGCATCTCTTGGGTATATTCCCAAGAGTAGAATTGCTGGGTCTTGAGGGAGGTTGACTCCCAGTTTCCTGAGAAACCGCCACACTGTTTTCCACAGTGGCTGCACAAGTTTGCATTCCCACCAACAATGGATGAGTGTTCCCCTCATTCCACATCCTCTCCAGCATAGGCTATCATTGGTGTTTTTGAGTTTGGCTATTCTGACAGGTGTAAGATGATATCTCAAAGTGGTTTTGATTTGCATTTCCCTGATCGCTAAGGAGGTTGAGCATGACCTTAAGTGTCTTTTGGCCATTCGAAGTTCATCTGTTGTGAATTCTCTGTTTAGTTCAATACCCCATTTTTTAATTGGGTTAATTAGAGTTTTAGTGTTTAGTTTCTTGAGTTCTTTGTATATTTTGGAGATCAGACCTTTGTCTGATGAATGAATTGTGAAGATCTTCTCCCAGTCGGAAGGTAGCCTTTTTGTCTTACTGACAGTGTCCTTTGCTTTACAGAAGCTTCTCTGTTTCAGGAGGTCCCATTTATTCATTGCTTCTCTTATTGTCTGAGCTCCTGGGGTTCTGCTTAGGAACTGGTCTCCTGTGCCTATATCTTGTAGACTACTTCCCATTTTCTCTTCTATCAGGTTCAATGTGATCAGATTAATGTTGAGGTCTATAATCCATTTGGACTTGGGTTTTGTGCATGGTGATAGATATGAATCTATTTTCATTTTTCTACAGGTTGACATCCAGTTATGCCAGCACCATTTGTTAAAGATGCTTTCCTTCTTCCATTGTATGCCTTTAGCTCCCTTGTCAAATATCAGGTGTTCATATATTTGTGGGTTAATACCCGGGACTTCTATTCGATTCCATAGGTCGACTTCTCTGTTGTTATGCCAATACCAAGCTGTTTTCAATACTGTTGCTCTGTAATAGAGTTTGAAGTCAGGGATGGTAATGCCTCCAGAAGTTCCTTTATTGTATAAGATTGTTTTGGCTATCCTGGGTTTTTTGTTTTTCCATATAAACTTGATTATTGTTCTCTCAAGGTCTGTGAAGAAGTTTGATGGATTTTTTTTGTAAATTTTATTAAATTATAAAAGTTTCCATTTCCGCCCCTCTTCCCAACACCCTCCCACTCCCCCCACTCCCTCTCCTCCTCCCTCTTCGTCCCTTAGGGCAGTCAGGATTTCCTGCCCTGTGGGAAGTTCCAGTTCCTTCCCCCTCCCTCCAGGTCCAGGAAGGTGAGTGTCCAAACAGACTGGATCCCCAAAATCCAGTATATGCAGAGGAAACAGGTCCCAGTATCATAGTCAATGACTTTTCAGAAAGACTTCGGGCCAGCCACAGTCAGAGAATCCGGCCAAATTCCGAGAATCTGGTTAGATCACCTCCTCGTTCAGTCCCAGTCCAACTGGCCTTGGTAAACTCTCATTAGATCCGTTCCCTTGTATCAGTGGGTGATAGCATCCCTCGCAGTACTGATTTCGTTTTTCATGTTCTTCCTCCTTCTGCTCCTCATTTGGACCTCCGGGGGCTCAGTCCGATGCTCCAATGTGGGTCTCCGACTGTATCGCCGTCCTTCGCCAGATGAAGGATCTATGGTGATAAGCAAAATATTCATCAGTATGGTTATGGGCAACGGCCGATTCAGGCACCCTCTCCTCTGTCCAGAGAACAATCTGGGGGATCTCTCCTTGGTCCTGGGATCCCATATATAATCAAGTCTCCTGTAAACCCTAAAATGACTCCCTTAGTTGAAATATATTCTTCCCTGATCCCGTATTCATCCTTCCTCCCTCCCCCCCCATCCCAGGCCACCGAGCTTTCCCCGTTCCTCCCCTACTCCCTTCTCTCTAACCCTCTCCCCTTCCATCAACCCTCCCACCCCCCCATGCACCAGAGGTTACCTGGGACTCTTGTCTATTTCCTACCTCCTGGTGGATAGCTAAATAATCTTCATCAGGTTCATCTTCTTATTTAGCTTCTCTAGGATCACGAATAATAGGCTCAAAGACCTTTAATTATGGTTAGAATCCACTTATGAGTGAATACATACCGTGTTCCTCTTTTTGGGTCTGGCTTACCTCACTCAGTAAAGCGTTTTCTATTTCCATCCATTTGCATGCAAAATTCAAGATGTCATTGTTTTTTACCGCTGAGTAAAACTCTAATGTGTATATGTTCCACACCTTTTTTAACCATTCTTCTATTGAGGGGTACCTAGGCTGTTTCCAGGTTCTGGCTATTACAAATAGTGCTGCTATGAACATAGTAGAACAAATGCTTTTGTAGTATGTTAGGGAATCTTTAGGGTATATTCCCAACAGTGGAATTGCTGGGTCCTGAGGGAGGTTGACTCCCAGTTTCCTGAGAAACTGCCACACTGATTTCCACAGTGGCTGCACGAGTTTGCATTCCCACCAACAATGGATGAGTGTTCCCCTCACCCCACATCCTCTCCAGCATAGGCTATCGTTGGTGTTTTTGACTTTAGCTATTCTGACAGGTGTAAGATGGTATCTCAAAGTGGTTTTGATTTGCATTTCCCTGATTGCTAAGGAGGTTGAGCATGACCTTAAGTGCCTTTTGGCCATTCGAAGTTCATCTGTTGTGAATTCTCTGTTAAGTTCAGTACCCCATTTTTTAATTGGGTTAATTAGAGTTTTAGTGCCTAGTTTCTTGAGTTCTTTGTATATTTTGGAGATCAGACCTTTGTCTGATGAGGGGTTGGTGAAGATCTTCTCCCAGTCAGAAGGCAGCCTTTTTGTCCTACTGACAGTGTCCTTTGCTTTACAAAAGCTTCTCAGTTTCAGTAGATCCCATTTATTCATTGTTTCTCTTATTGTCTGTGCTGCTGGGGTCCTACTTAGGAAGAGGCCTCCTGTGCCTATATCTTGTAGACTACTTCCCACTTTCTCTTCTATCAGGTTCAAAGTGGACGGATTAATGTTGATGTCTTTAATCCATTTGGACTTGATTTTTGTGCATGGTGATAGATATGGATCTACTTTCATTTTTTTACAGGTTGACATCCAGTTATGCCAGCACCATTTGTTAAAGATGCTTTCCTTCTTCCATTGTATGCCTTTAGCTCCCTTGTCGAAAATTAGGTGTTCATAAGTTTGTGGGTTAATATCTGGGTCTTCTATTCGATTCCATAGGTCGACTTCTCTGTTGTTATGCCAATACCATTCTGTTTTCAATACTGTAGCTCTATAATAGAGTTTGAAGTCAGGGATGGTAATGCCTCCAGAAGTTCTTTTATTGTATAAGATTGTTTTGGCTATCCTGGGTTTTTTGTTTTTCCATATAAACTTGATTATTGTTCTCTCAAGGTCTGTGAAGAAGTTTGATGGGATTTTGATGGGGATTG